ATTGGCAAAACTTAGACAACAAGAAAACAATAAATCAAATATCATCAATGATTTTTGTTCTGATGATGCAATTACCACTACAATCGAAGAGGAACAAACTGACTCTTAAAAAAAGAAAAAGGACAACAAAAAAAGGTAATAGAACTACGTAGGCTTTGATTCTTATTGAAGTTTCAATAAGATACGTATGCAACTTAATCTTGGTAAAGTTAAGTGCAAGTCCAAAATATTCGATATATTGATCTTTAAAAAATTATAGATGAAAAAAATTAATCATTGAATACTTGCATTTGGACAATTTTAAAACAAAACATAAAATTAAAAAAAATAAAAATAATTCACAATTTGAATCATCGGTTCAAACCTGAACCGTATCAGAACCACCGATTCAAGAACTAGAACCGTCAGTTCAAACCAGAACCACTGGTTCGTCCATTTCCGGAATTGGAACCGGTGGTTTTGAACTAGAACCGAACCGTAATCGTAACCGTGGTCATGGCTAACCAATATATGGTTTTCATGGGCTATTTGGGTACTTGTTACTCCGTATTTTATTTTATCCCGATGATGCCAAGTCCCAAACTGATAATTTTTTGTTTTACCTCATCGTTCTATGTGAGGACAATAAAGCTTGTGTTGTACAAATAATAAATAGGTAGTATGTTTAAGAATATTTGAAAAAAATATATAACGTCAATATTCAACTCACGTGAGTTCTAGAAGAGTCACGAGATTATTATACAGAATGTTAACTCTAGTGACAATCTTGAAGATTGTACCATATCCATATTCTACACTCTTTTTGAAACAATGTTTTTATTATTATATTAGAACATGTAGACGTTGAAGATTGTTATCTTCAAGGGGGAATGACCTTTACTTGAATCAATCCTAAAAATTGGACTTGAATCAACCTTAAAGATTGGACTTGAATAATCCTTAAGATTGGATCTTAAAGACCAATATTTGTACCTTGCAACACATGAATGCATACATATCATGTACTCTTTTCCTCACTAGTTTTTTTTTTCCATTGATTTTTTTAGTGTGGTTTTTAACGAGGCATGAGTATGATAAAATAATGTCAAAATTAAAGGGGAAAGTTGCAAATAAATATTTAAATAGACAAACCCTAAAATTCTGTAGATTATGCTCTGAAGGCTTATGATTGTACGTACTATTGTTCTCTCAACTAAGTCTTTTCCCACATTGTTTCTTAGGGTAAGGTTTTTAATGAGTCAACCGAAACAATACATGAATTACGTACCCATATATCGTGTACTCTTTTCTCGTCTACGTTTTCCCATGAGACTTTTCTAGCGAGTTTGTAATGAGGCATGATTATAGTAAGATAATGTCTAAAGAGAAGTGTTATAAGTATATAATTATATAGACATGCATTATGACTCTTTATTACTTAACGTTTGTAACCGTTGTAATATTAAGATTCCATTATTATATTTCCGTTACTAGTTTATATTATATAGAGAAAATTTCAATTTTGGGCCATGACTATTGGAGTTGTGTTAATTGTAACATTTGACTTTTAAAAATGTTAATTTAGTATCTTGATTATGCAATTTCTATCAATTTTGGTCACGCCGGTCAAATTGCTGGCCAAATCTCACTGGAAAAATTTAATAGATCAAATAATGAGGATAATTTAATCATTTTACTCATCTTTTCTTTCTTCTCCGATGAGCTTCTCTCTATTTCCGGCGATGATTTCTTCTCCGATGAGCTTCTCCACTTCTGATAGTGGCACTATCAGAATCCGCAACTATAGTGACACTTCTGATAGTGTCACTATAGTCGTGGGACCAAAAGTGAAAAAAACTCCTTTTTTTTGTGGGAGAAAAAAAAAAAAACTCCCCTTGAATATATATAGTAAATGTTTAAATATAATTAAATAATATAGATATATATTACTCAAAGATAAAGTGCTCATATGGTTAAGTATATATGTATGTGTTGTAGTAGAGGTCAAAGGTTGAATCTCCTTGCATGATTAATTGTTTTGCCCAAAATATATCATTTATTTTAATCTTTCATCTCTACTTGATGAAATTTCTGGCTCTGCCACCGGTTGACACTATACAAATACTAAAAATGTATTCAAGGGTTCTCTAATTTTCCACTTTAAAATTTAAAATACTTTATATAAAAAATTTATAACAATACATTTTTCTCTTGATACAAGAGGAATAATGCACCTAAACCAATTACCCAGAATTTGGGCATCAATTGGTCAATGGTAACATGCAAACAAGTGTGTTATCCCATGGTATTTGAGCAGGTTGAATGAAAGACTGACCAATGCACTTTTCCAGTGTCCATAAACTGTGTCGTACTGTTGAGTTTGGTTTGTGGAAAGTGGAAACGAAGGTAAGGCGGCCGCCAACAGAGTTTACTCTTTTTATTTAGGCACAATAATTAATTTTATCGCTGAATTATAAACATCTCTATTAATAAGAATAGTTAATCTGAAAATTTAAAATTACTTCATATTTAAAATTAAGGATTAAATCTTAATCGGCAAATTAGGCCGTGGAACTATGTCCACTTGTAATGTGGACACAGTTCGTGAACTGTTCATAATTATGAATATATATTTCAAAAAGTATGAACATATAGTTCTATAATTATGAACATAGAGTTGTGAACATAATTATGAACATATAATTCTATACTTATGAATATAGAGATTCAATAATTGTGAATATGATGTTCAAAAATTATGAATATATAATCTTATAATTATGAATATATAGTGGAGTAATTATGAACATAGAATTCTGAAATTGTGAATATAGAATTCAATAATTCTGAATATGAAATTCAAAAATTATAAATATATAGTTTTATAATTATAAATCTATAGTTTAGTAATTATAAACATAGAATCATGTTCACCTTACACAGTTTCATAGCATAACGATTGCACTTAATCACAACCCCCAATTTACCCATAGTTTGGCAATCACAACCCCCAATTTACCCATAGTTTTATATGTACCGAACCCACACAAATCATGCTTTTGAGTTCCACCGTCCTTGCCCCCTGCTTTCGGCAAATTATATTATGCACCGCGGTGCATAATCGATTATGCACCGCGCGTCTTTTTTTTTTAAAATGAAAATTAACGCCGTTTCGCACCCTTTTACAAAAAGTAACTCTGTTATTCAGTGTCATTTTGTATATACTGCAGTTTCAGTTGAACACAACTACAGTTTCATTTCGATATAACTATAGTTTCATTCGATATTTATAGACTCAAATATGTGAAAATGTTATTTAATTTTATTTTATATACACTATAGTTTTATTAAAACACAACTACATGATCATTTTGATATAATTACAGCTTCATTGTATAATATACACTCAAATATGTGAAATGTTATTCAGTTTCAGTTTATATACACTGCAGTTTCATTTCACTATAACTACAGTATCATTTTGATATAACTGCAGTGTCGGTTTAAATATACTGTAGTGTCAGTTGGTGTTTAATACACCAAACAAACGGACTCCGTTAACTCTAACGACGGGCCGTTTCTTTACTTAAAGAAACGGCGCCGTATATGGGCCGCGGTGCATAATCGATTATGCACCGCGGTCTATAATATAACAACTGCTGCTTTCACTACTAAAAACTCCAATTTTACCCTTCAATTCCATTTTTATTCTCATATTTAACCTAACACATTATATTTAATGTAATTGATATATTATTATTATTTTTTAAATATGAGTTAAGTCTGAATTTCTTCTAATTATTATTTATTTTTAATTTAATCAAGTTATTAAATTTAATAATTAAGTATTAAATTATTTTTAATTATAATTCATTGTTAGTTTTTCTCTGCGTGAATCGTAACACTGAAGGAAAAATTAAAAATTTATGACAATTGAGTCAATCGTTTTTTACACGCGAAAAATAAAATTCTAGTTTTTTTTTTTATTTTTATTTTAGTAGTTCAATTTCACCTTCAATATTAACCGTTCACACAATGAAAAGTTTATAGTGGATTAAAATTGTAAAGGATTTGGTCCTGAAAAATAAATTTGAAAAGGATTCAATATTGCATTACTACATTTGATAGATTTAAAAGTTAATGATTAAATCAAATGGTGATAATTAAATGACTAAATCTAAAATTTATTGTTTTCATAATGACTTGTTTAATATATCTAGCTTAAAAAGTAAAAATTTAAAAAGCTAATAACTATTAGCTTATTTTAAAAAGCTACTTAAAAGTAACGTTTTAAAATAAAGTATTATGTTAACTCTCAATATTTTACCAAATAGTATAATTTATAGCTTATTACATCTAACCTGATAGAGCATTGCATCTAACATGATAGAGCATTGCATCTAACATGATAGAGCATTTGGGAGGATTTCACGTTACCTTAATGATTGGCCAAATATCAGTACGGATGTGTTCATTTTGGACATAATCTCCATACTATCGCTACCTAAATTTGAACCTTAATCTCTTTTTTCAAATATTGTCTATTGAACCAATGAGATAAACTATCCAGGCAATATAATCATAGACTCGTTTTCTAGAGTGCTTAGTCTTTTTATTTATTTATTTTTATAAATTAAAATAGAGGGAAAAAGAAAGTTTCAAGCAGCCGCCGGTCTCTGTCCCATTTCCTTCGCCGTTGTCTTCCACAGTTCCACATTTTCACACGGAAAATACTAGGTGTACTCCCACTTTATACTCCAAACTTGTACTCCCTCTCACATGTTCTTGATGTAGACACTTTTCTGTGGACCCACATGTTGAAAATAACCAATCCTGACTTGCCACATTAGGGAGTACAAATGAGGGAGTAGAATTTGAGAGTTCATGTAATAGAACTCTTTTCACACCTTTCTCTCTCTCTCTCCGCTGTACTTCTCAATTTTTATTTATTTATTTATTATTATTATTATTATTATTCCATTATTTATATATTATTTTTACGTACTCTCCATTTATATTATATATATATACATATACACACTCTGATTCAATCGGCGATTAAGTGTTTGTTTGATCCACCGGACCGGAGATAAAAAGAAATGACGGTTGCGAACATGGATAACGGCGCCGGCGCCGAGAAGCGTCCCAAGACGAAAATTGTCTGCACTCTTGGGCCGGCTTCCCGCGCGGTGCCCATGGTCGAGAAGCTTCTACGGGCCGGCATGAACGTCGCCCGATTCAATTTCTCCCATGGATCTCACGAGTACCACCAGGAGACCCTCAACAATCTCCGCCAGGCCATGGAGAATACCGGTATTCTCTGCGCTGTCATGCTCGACACCAAGGTATACCTGCTATATCTTTATATTCTTCGTACATCTATTTCATGATTTTACCTGTCTGCTTTGATGTATATATATGCACGCCAATGATTGCATGGATCTGTAGTTAGTAGTACGTTTATGCTATTAAGTGTTTGATATTTTGTCCGACTTATTGATTGCGTTTCACCTGTCCACTTGCTGAACTGTGCCGATCACGATCTTATCTTAAGTTTATTTTCCGTTGGCTGCTTGTCACGCATATACATTTTCATTGTTTGCTTTCATATTTATTCTTGAAGTCTTTTCCGGGTTTATTTGTGGTTGTGGTTGTGCTTGGTATAGAAACCATTGTTCCGAAATGGTTGAATCCCCAACCCCTACGCCCCGGCGTAAATCATGGTAACTCAGCTGAACACGAGGCTAGACCTTTGCTTACTACGCACAAGGAGTCTCCTTCACTTTGAGAGGTTGCTCCCACATTGCATCGCTGGTGAGACTCGATCCCTCGATCCCGGGTCATTGTTCCCAAATTTCACCCATGTGCCCAATTGAGTTGCCCATGCGGGCTTGGTATAGAAAACATGGAGGGTGGGTTGGGTTGGTTTATAGAAACTTTACCTTCTTTTTTTTTTTCTCCTTGTATAATTGAAATTTGAAAGTATTGATAATGCATTTCTTTTGGGTTGATGAGTGAATTGCACAAAATTGCCTTCAATTTCACTCACTGAGCCCTTATTACCATATTGAATTTGACAATGATTGACATAGATGCGACTTTTGGTATAGAATTGACTTTTTCACTTGTTATATACTTATATAACCACCTTAACCCTTAGATTGTTTTTCTTTAAAAGTACATGTTACACTAGAATGCCCAATTTCTCTGACCTTGAACAACAATGAACTGATGGCCATAGCTCAAAAGCAAAAGCAGGTCCTATCTTTACTACTAGTGAGTGCAAGTTTCCACAGACATTCCTCAGTGCAATCTTTTGCTGAATGCTTATTCTTGCTTGAAAAGCAGGCCAAAAGGTTCTTATATGTGTCCTTTAATCTATAAGAGTTGCAGTTGATCATGCCACATTCTATAACTTTTTTGTATATCCCATTTCTTCCTTTCCGTTAAAAACCATTCTGCATGAAAATCTTTATAGGGTGATTTTGATTGTAAATAGATATTAGGGAAGATTTAGTTTGCTTGATGAGGACTGATTGTTTGCAGTGGATGATCTGGATGTACTGGTTGTCTTGTAATAGTATGAGTGGTGTCACATTTAACATTTTGTGTTGTTTTGAGGTGTTATGACCCCTTTTTTGTTTGCGGCAGGGTCCAGAAATTCGTACTGGGTTTTTGAAAGATGCCAAGCCCGTTCAACTGAAACAAGATCAAGAGATTACAATCTCCACTGATTACAGCATCAAGGGTGATGAGAATATGATCTGCATGAGCTACAAAAAGTTGGCCGAGGATGTTAAGCCACAAAGCGTTATACTGTGTTCAGATGGCACAATCTCCTTTACTGTCCTGTCATGTGACAAAGAGAACGGTTTGGTGCGCTGCCGCTGTGAGAACACTGCTGTTCTTGGTGAGAGAAAGAACGTCAATCTCCCTGGGGTTATTGTTGATCTTCCAACATTGACAGATAAAGACAAGGATGATATTTTAAAGTGGGGGGTCCCTAATAATATTGACATGATTGCCTTGTCCTTTGTTCGCAAGGGTTCAGATTTGGTGGAGGTCCGAAAGGTGCTTGGTGATCATGCAAAGAGAATCCTCCTTATGTCAAAGGTTTACTTCCACGAAGTCTTCTGATTTTCTCAATTATTTTGGGCATTTTCAGAGTTGTTAATTTGATTTGTTGGTAGGTAATGGTGCTATAAACCACCATAAGAGTTATAAACTTAGAGATGGGATATGACTTTATTTTCCCTTTTTGTTTAATTACTCTGCAGAAAAAGTCTCCATTTTTTTTATTACTTTTTTCTGGCAGTATATTTTGCTTTGCTGGTCTAATACTGCATTGACACAAAATGGTTGCTTGTTTTAGGTTGAAAACCAAGAAGGTGTAGCAAATTTTGATGATATTCTTGCCAAGTCTGATGCATTTATGGTGGCAAGAGGTGACCTGGGTATGGAAATTCCAATTGAGAAGATATTTTTAGCTCAGAAGGTAATGATTTACAAGTGCAACATCCAAGGGAAGCCTGTTGTCACAGCCACACAAATGTTGGAATCTATGATCAAGTCTCCAAGGCCAACTCGTGCAGAAGCAACAGATGTTGCGAATGCTGTTCTTGATGGGACAGACTGTGTAATGCTTAGTGGTGAAACAGCTGCTGGAGCTTATCCAGAACTTGCCGTGAGGACCATGGCCAGAATCTGCGTGGAAGCAGAAAGCACAATTGATTATGGAGATGTATTCAAAAGGATAATGTTAAATGCACCAGTTCCTATGAGCCCACTAGAGAGTCTTGCATCTTCTGCTGTCCGAACAGCAAACTCTGCAAAAGCAGCTCTTATCCTTGTTCTAACCAGAGGAGGAAGTACTGCCAAACTGGTGGCCAAATACAGGCCTGGAATGCCAATATTGTCTGTCGTTGTCCCTGAGATCAAGACCGACTCATTTGACTGGTCTTGTAGTGATGAGACTCCAGCAAGGCATAGCCTTATCTTCAGGGGATTGGTTCCTGTTCTGTGCGCAGGATCTGCAAGGGCATCCGATGAAGAGTCAACAGAGGAAGCACTTGAATTTTCCCTAGAACATGCCAAAGCAAAAGGGCTATGCAAGGCAGGAGATGCAGCTGTTGTTCTGCATCGTATTGGAACTGCTTGTGTGATCAAGATTGTGACGGTTAAGTAAAAATCACGAACCTTGTTTGGTAGCAGAAATCAAAAGGGTATGGGTATCAGATACTGAAATGCCGCTTATCTATTTTTGCTCATCGGGTAGGTCAGTTATGGCTTGCTTGCCTTGCTTCTCTTTTACTTTTATTTTGCAACTCCCCCAGCACAATTTTCCCATCTTGCAAAGCTGGAGTGATGATCTTTTTAATTGGAATTGTTATAAGAGGAGTTATCTTTTATTAACAAAGTTTTTAAGTTTATTTTAACATCTGCTGATTGTATTACTACTGCTTCATATTAGCTATTGCAGTAAACAGCATGTTTGGTATAGAAAATTTTGCTAACAGATACATTAATATAAAATTCCTGCAAATGAGGTTTCTTCAGGTCTTCTGAAAATCTGATTTTGCAAGATCACAGCATACCATCTAATTCTGTACATAAGCATGAGCAGCCCAGCCAACATCATGCAAATTATACCATGGACTAGAAACTCGGTGGACCCTGGTCCAAAAATAACTTTCAGTTATCATGTTATGTGTCTGTAATTATCATATGATATTGAGATTGTAAGCACATAATGTGTTAATTGCAGACACATAATTTTTGAACCCTCCTGGTCCATGGTATAAGTAACAATTGCTCAAATTTAATTATCGTGTGTATGAGTAGTGTGGCTAGCATTTGCTGATGAGGAGGAAAAGGCATAAGCATTGTTAGATTGGGAAGGTGGTGGGGTTGAGGATGAAAGAAGTCGAGTACCAATTGGCCATGGAATTGGTGCATTTCTACTACTGCCTTGAGGCTGCTCAGCATTGTTGTGTTCATCAGGAGGCAGCTGGTACCTACAGACCGGACAAGAATTGTGTAGCTGAAGCCACGGCAAGATGCAGCCGCTGTGGAACCTGTGCTTACACGGCATCTCCTTAGCTTCGGCCTCGATTTCAAAGTCTTCCAAGCAAACGGAACATTGTGATGCATCGTCCTCGACCTTCACCATTGGCAGAGCCTCCACGGTCCCTTTCTGGGCTGGCGGTGTTCCATACCTGTTTGGATCATTTTCGGCCAAATGCTGCAGAAGCATTTCTAAACTAGGGCCAATGAAGTAATTACCCAAGGCGCCTACAGCTTGGCTCCCCGGAGGAGGAGGAGTAGGAGGAGGAGGGTTGGGATTGGGATTGGGATTGGAATCAGAAGAGCCCTGAACAATGATGGTTTGGTTGAAGGGATTTATCACTATCGTTCGCTCCCTCCCTCTTTCAACTTGAGAATTCTCGGATAAAAGTCCAGCTCGAATGCTTTGCAGCAGCTCCACAAGTCTGGCCATGCTCCTCCTCGTACGAATTAGAGACTCCAGCTCACGATCTACCTCCCCCTCGCCCTCACTCTCATTATTCCCGCCATTGCTGCTATTGTTGTGTTCCAATTCCAAGCGCCTGAACATGTGACGGGCGTTGCTGCTCATCATTCCAAGCAAGATTGGTGCCCAAAGAGCGAGTGCACGATCAGAATCATCAAAGGGGTTGGCAGGAGGGGCAGTTGCAGGTTCCATTTCCTCGACAAAGCCATTCCCACATATGGGGCATTCTACTCCTCCCTCCGACTCCATCTCCACCTCCATCTCCATCATTGGATTCACCACCTCACAACAATGATAACACCAATATCTTGAACCTTCCGCATCATCCATCTCACCTGCTGCTTCTTTATATCTGCCTGCCATATCATCTCATCTCATCAATTTTTGGTTAAAACATTGTCAATGTGAATATAATGCACAACAAAATGACTTTTGATGACCTCAAGGAAGATCAGAATTAAGTTGTGTTCTTCTCTATCTTATTCTTACCCAGTTTTTTAATGGTATAACAGCAACAAAAAGCTTTAATAGCACAAGGAACAATTTTGAATATCCAAACACCCAAGCTTTAGGGAAGGTTTCTTGAAAATTGGATTCAGAGGACTTGTGTTTTTCAAAGGAACGACAAGACACAAAGAATAAAGAAAAGAAAAAAAAAAAAAAAACAAGAATTAGAACTAATTCCACATTTCAGTAAACAAAACTAGATTACACCCAGAATTGAAAATAACCAAATAGAAGATATATATGTATATTTATTGTTGAATCTTTTGACATCAGAATAATTATATTATAGCACAAGAAATGGGACTTATTAAACAAAACATTGAGGGATAAAGGAAAAGAAAAGTAGAATAATACCAGGTTGAACGGAAGGAAGGAATGAAGGAAGAGGAATCTCACCCTTTTGTTGTTTGTGTGAGGTATATATGTTATGTTCCTTTCTGGATTTGTAGTGTCTTAGGCTGGTTTATGAGGTTTACTTTTAATTAAACCCGTGGAATGGATTTTTCGTTTCTGTCATTCATTTCCTATTTTTGGCCCTTCAATTCTTACTTTCCTTTTCTAATCTCCCTTAACCGGATAACCCCCACCCCACCCCTTTATTATTTGTACCTCAGAAATTACTTACCTATAGTCTATAGCTATATGGCTGAATTGTGGTGAATATTTCACGGCTTGCAACGTTAGTTATTGGCAGAAATGATGAAGGCGGTATTTGGTAAATAACTGTTAGTTGATTGAGTTAGTGTATTTGACTAGTTGATAATATTAGCTGATTGTAAAAAGATTTTTGGTAAATAAGCTGTTAGCTGATAGCTGATTACATGCAATTATGCAAAATGACTTTTTAAAAAAGTCGATAAAAAAAGCTACATTGAACAACTTTTTAAATTTTAGTATTTTGGAGCAATAAGCTATTACAAAAAACTAATTAATCAAATACTTATATTGGCCTTGTTTAGTAATATAGTTAGCTTATCAGCCAATTTTGGTTAAAATGTCAATATATGTGTTTGATTAATCAATTTTTTTGTAATAGCTTATTGCTCCAAAATGCTAAAATTTAAAAAGTTGTTCAAAGTATCTTTTTCGATTAACTTTTTGCGAAAGTGATTTTGCATTTAATAAGTTACCAGCTAGTTTACCAAACATCTCTCTACAATCAGTTATTGCTATCAACTAGTCAAACCCACTAATCCAATCAACTAACATCTATTTACCAAACACCCCCATTGACTGTTTAACCAAGTCAAACAGTTAAAAGTGGTCAAATATGTTAAGCTAACTAACTAACTAACTAACTAACTAACTAACTATATATATATATATATATATATATATATATATATATATATATATATATATATATATGTTTACTTTCAAATATGAACCAATGCTATCATGTGAATCTGTGTATCATTATGCACCACTGATCTTGTTCGATCTTGTGGTTTGTAATAATTTTGATCTGGTAAATATACATCATTGCACTTGGGGATGGCAATTTGGCCGGTCCCCGACATGGAGAAAATTTTCAGGAGACGGAGACGGGGACGGGGACGGTGCCTCATTACTCCAAAATTTATTTATTTTTTTCTCAGCTTTCTCATAGAACTGTAATCCAACTTACTGACTTGCAGGCAACCCTAATTGAAAAAGGACGATAAAATGACTACTTTACACATTTTTCTCCAAACTTACCCCAACTACACAATATTATCTCTCTCCTCTCTCACTTACACATTCAAGTCACCAACCCATGAAATACACATCATGATGAGGAGAAAGAGTGTAGGGGGAATTCATTTTGGAAAGAAAGACATTTCCTTATGTTTATTGTTGTTACATTTTCCTGCTTTACTCCACATCATTTAGTATTTAGTACAATGTTAATAATAGTAGAAAGAAAAAAGGTCGGAAATAGGGATGTGTTTGAAAACTACATGATAAAAGTAAATAATAGATTGAGATTTCATAATGGGGTGGTGGCGCAGTTGGCTAGCGCGTAGGTCTCATAGCTTAGAGTAATCCTGAGGTCGAGAGTTCGAGCCTCTCTCACCCCATTGCTCTTTTCCTCTACGGTTCAGTCATGTTGGCCAAGAGATGTTGAATCCAAGCGTGGTGGGTTTTGTTTAAAAATTGATTATGCATTTTTATATAGGATAATCACATTTTTGTCTTTTAATGGTTAAATATGTAATTTACTCATACATTTTCAATTTTAGTTTACTTAATACAGTTATCAATTGTATTATCATGTCGTAAATTTAGTCATTCAAAATATTTTATATACCTTTAAGAACTAGAGATAAGATGCGAAAGATGTTTTGTGTTCTTGACATGTCGCATTTCGGGTTGGCTAGCCGGTTTCAGACTATTTTGACAGCCCTACCTCTTATCATTCTAAAGAAAATGTAATTAGCAACTTTAACTTATACAAGTTCTTCTCTAAAACTGTCGGTAATAATATAATGATATTGTTGGAGACATGTAATGATTTTGTTTTACTTTCATATTTTACTGATGAAGTGCATGATACAGTGTGGACCAATGCCAAGGGCATTCTTGTATTTTCCTTCTGTCATAACTGTTTCTGTTATAACTGCTAGGTCTTCAATTAGTCCTGCATATATAAGCTTTGTTCTCTTTCCCTTTTTCGGGTGTAAGAACAATATGGTGATCAATGTCAGTTGCTACCTTCTCACTTTCCATCTTAGCTTTGAATATAATCTACAGAGTTTCAACTCTTCCAACATGGTATCAGAGCTCCTCCGCCACAGCTACGTCTCCGCCGTCATAGGGAACGCCGGAGCTCGTGAAGGAACCTCGACGGAAGCCGAGACATCTCCAATTAACCAGGGTGCTCCGAATCAGAATGCAGTTCATCCAGTCAACGACTTTGATGATCCTTTTTATCTCCATGTTACGGAGAATCCGAATTTGGTGCTTGTTTCACCTCTCCTCTCCGAAAACAATTATGCCTCCTGGAGTAGGTCCATGAAGATCGCCCTAGGAGTGAAAAACAAATTAGGTTTTGTGAATGGAGCGATTGCTAATCCAGGAGTGAGAGATCCAAAGTACTCTGTCTGGAAAAGATGCAACGACATAGTATGCTCATGGATCTTGAAGTCTCTCAACTCAACGATAGCAGAGAGTGTGCTGTATTTTGAGATAGCAGAGGACATCTGGAAGACTCTTCAAGCAAGATACTCACAAGCGGATCCACATAAGATTGCAGAAGTCCAGAACGAAATCTACAAGAATTAAACAAGGTACTCTGACTATCAATGAATACTTTACAAAGTGTAATGCTCTGTGGGAACAGTTAAATGCGATGAGGCCTATACCAATGTGTGAATGTACTCCTAGATGTTCTTGTAGTTTGATGAATAAGATACAAAAGGATAGACATGATGATCAGATCATTAGGTTCTTGGAAAGCCTGAATGATGAATTTGAGACTATAAAGTCTGGAGTATTGGTCATGGACCCTATTCCAACACTGGAAAAGGTTCTAAATATGGCCTTGAAATTGGAAAGAAAGCTTAATGGATCAGTTAGTCACAAGAATGAGATTCCGCAGTCCAATGCCATTCAGGATAATTCCAGTCAGAACATAGATGATCAGAATTTTGTGGTAGCTTTAAATGCACATAACAAGAAGAAGTTTAATACTAATGGAGGAAAGAGTATACCAAAATGCACATAATGCAACATGCTTGGACACACAATAGAGAAATGCTATAAAAAGCATGGGTATCCTCCTGGTTGGGTAGCTGGGTACAAATCCAGAAATAAACAAGGCCAAGACAATCAACAGGCAATAAGTGTGTCAATGAACCAAGTTGGTGACATAGGGTTGTCTAATGATCAATTCCAAAGGCTGATATCTCTGTTACAGAACCAAAATCAAGGCAATCAAGCTTCTACCAATGCAGCTGTCACAGTAAACAGACATGGTTTGAGACCAGAATTCATGAATGTGTCACAAGAAGCAAAAGAAGGCAGGTCTATCCTTAACCCCTCTATTAATTCCATTTTGAACTGTTCTGCTATATGGATTTTAGACTCAGGAGCAACTGATCACATCACTTGCTCCCTAGAGTATTTTGAAAAATATTGCAAAGCCCACAACATATCTGTTAAGCTGCCAAATGGGGAAACAGTAGAAGTTACCCATATAGGAGAAATCAGACTCCACCTAAATCTACTATTAGAGAATGTGTTATACATTCCCTCATTTACATTCAACATTGTATCCACTAGCAAGTTAACAAAGCAAGGGAGCTGTAAAATTGTCATGAGTGCTAAATTCTACAATGTTCAGGGTCCATATGGATAATGGATGGTTTTGCTGAAGAAAAGGGGGGCTGTACCTGCTCAAAAATCCTCCTACAAGAAGGAAAGCTCCTTATGATGAGAAAGCTTACTCTGATGAAAGATCTAGTAGCCAATGTAACAGTGTTTCTTTACAATTGTGGCACAGTAGGTTAGGGCACTATCCTATAGATAAGATACATTGTCTGAATGGAATCAAGCCTAAGCCTACTCAATTGAATAAAACTCATGATTTTGCTTGTGATATATGTCATTTTGCCAAGCATAAAAGGTATTCTTTTCCTATCAATGTGACTAGAGCTGAGAATTGCTTTGATTTAATTCATATGGATGTGTGGGGACCATTTGCTGCTGCCTCCCCAAAAGGGGAACACTATTTTTTAACTATTGTTGATGACCATAGCCGGTTCACTTGGTTGCACCTAATGAAACACAAGTCTGAAGTTAAAACACTATTTCAGAACTTCTATTACTACATTGAGGCTCAGTTTTCAGCAAAAATAAAAGTAATAAGGACAGACAATGGGAGTGAGTTTCTTATGGGCAATTTTTTAAATGAAAAGGGGATTGTACACCAAAAATCTTGTGTAGATACCCCTCAACAGAATGGTATTGTAGAGAGAAAACATCAGCATGTATTGAATGTGTCTAGGGCACTAAGATTTCAGGCTGGTTTACCAATAGAATTCTGGGGTCAGTGTGTTCTACATGCATCATACCTTATCAACAGATTGCCCACCCCTACTAATAATGGAAGCTCTCCTTATGAGGTCCTATTTGGAGAATTGGTGAACTATGATCAACTAAGAACCTTTGGTTGCCTTTGTTTTGCTGCCACTACCTCACAAGGAAGGAATAAGATGATGCCAAGGGCCAGGAAGTGTGTATTCTTGGGGTTCCCTGCAAATGTAAAAGGTTACATACTTTATGATATCATTGACAAACATACTTTTATTTCCAGGGATGTTCACTTCTATGAAGAGATTTATCCTTTCAATAAAGCTAATGCAGGAATCAGACCTGATTTTGTGCCACCTCAGGATGAAGTATTCAATCCTTCCTTACCTCTGGTTCCCATTTCCATTGAAGAAGAGTTTGTGCCACCAGCAGACACAGAAAGGGCTACTGCTAATGAGAATGATCAGGAAATTTCTAATGTTGCATCACCATATACAGCAAATGATCAGACAACCATTAATGAGACTGATGTGATCACTGACAATAATGGTGAATCAGACATGGGACAAGTTCCACAAGAAGGAAATACCAGTTGTGTACA